ATCTTTTTTAGTACTAATTTATTAAATGAACCACAATACCAATTCAATAAAACTGTTATACGAAGTCGTTTAGATCATAATTGAGATTACACCTTAACCTGTCTTTCAAACAGAACCGATAGAAAATTAGGCTAGAAATTAAATTTAAGAAAATTAAAAGACAGAAAACTTAATTTCATATTGGCAATATGAATGTTTTTATTCCTTATCATTACAACCCATGAAGGGTCTTGGGTTCAGTACTTAGTAAGAGAGTAATGTAATATTCAATGAATATTGAAATTCCATAAATTCCAAAGTAGTATAAAACTCACATTACTAATTTTATATATGTAAGTAAATACCTGATATGTTAAAATTTTTTGGCTGAAATCGGCATATCTGAAGTAGAAATAAAAATAGAAATAGAAAATAACATTATTCTGGGACAAAGCCCCTTTAGATTAACTAAATAGTACAAAATTAAAATAATACATATGGGCTAAGTAAAACAATAACAAAAAAAAAAAAAAATAATATTAGTTAAGCAAGCTATATACAAAAAAAACAACTGTATGTACAAAAAAACTAAAAACTAGGACAAGACACTTAAAACTAAATTTATTGAAAAAATAAATAAAAAATACATTGAATTCTTATTTAAAATAAGCTTTGTGTTTCTGCTAACAAAGGAAAGACGAATCTAATCGTATAAAATGTCAGAGTATTTAAATAATGAATAATATATAAACACATCATTATCTTATTGTAACTATTGGTAAAGATTTAGTTGTTTAAGAATAAAAAATAATAGTAAAAACAAACAATAGATGCATTCAGTGGTATTAAAAGTAGGAACAAGTTATGATTAGTAATATGAGAAACATTAAATCAATATTAAAAATGAGATTTTATAACTTTTATTGCAGGTTAACCTTATCAAAACAATCAACATTATAATCGATACATGTCAATATATCTTAACACTAAAACATATTTTATATTATGCTAATTTCCTCCCTCCAGTTCCTTCGTAAGGAGAAACTCTAATACTTTAAACAAAAGAAAAACGGGTCTATATTTTAAATTTAAATGATAACAGAAAATAGTTGCATTTATCTGAAACTTGAAGGATAACAGAACACTTTGCGTATAATTAAACGTTTATATAAAACAAAAAAAAAATTATCTAAATTGTACAAAACACATTAAAACTAATTACTGATTTTTAACGACGTGGAGTTTCTTGTTGAGCGCCGCAGTCAGACTCGAGACCTGATACTACTCGGGGTACACGAAGTTCTTCGAGATGTACCGTACGCGATCTGAACGAATATTTTACATCCCGAAAGGTAAAAAAATTATTCTTCCTGTTGGTTATAATTTTATAGGGGCCCTCGTAGCGTGCGACAGTTTTATTTCTCGCTGTTCTCAGCCGTCTGTACACAGTTGTTCCTAATGTTAGCGGACCCTTGCTATAAACCACGGAGCGGTTATTCGCGCGGTCCACGCGAGTCTGTTTTTCGCGAATTAGTTTTTCTCCAATTTTTTTCACGACGTCTGTCGTTTCACACGAGCTTGATATAATTTATTATTATTGGGTGTGATGAGAGCCCCTCTATCGCGTCGCCTTTGACAAAACGATTTCTACTTTTTTTTTTTTTTTTTTTTTTTTTTCGCCCTGCCTGCCATTGTTGCCATACGGGCTTTTGGCAGCAGTGGGTCAATACGTTGGGTTCTCGTATGACCACTGCGGCCAATAATCAACATTTATTTATCTTTAACAATAGGGATTTTTTCATTTATTTAACATAAAATCAAATTTGGTATACTGTGGTGCGGCCCGGTACACAGTTGTGCACTTTTATGATGGGGCCGCACCTTGTCCTCACCGCATCCGTCCGGTCCTCAGTCTTCTTCGTTCTCCTCTGGTGGTCTTCTTGCCGCTCCCAGGGAGAAATGTGCAGGGCCGATTGTGTCTCTCCACCCGTATACAAACTCCCTAAAGAGCGGGTAATTTTCTTCCTCCACTAGGCGGGGAAAATCCTGTTCTGTTAGGCTATACAGCCCTGTTTCCTTCAAGAGTTTGGCACGGCGTCCCTCCATTGCGGTGCAGGATACCAGGATGTGTTCTGCCGTCTCGGGGACTCCGCAGGGAGGGCACCGGGGGTCGATGTCCTTCCCATGGTCAGCCAGCTTTCCCCGGAACCCACCATGTCCTGTGAGAATCTGCGAGACCCAATAATCAGGGCGAACCCAAGTAGCCTTCAGTCTGTCTTGGACGGTTGGGAAGAACTTTCTGAGGGTGGATCCTTTCTCGCTCGTCACCCACCGTCTGTTCCACTCCTGGATGGATTCCTCCCTGACTATCTTCTTCCATTGGTTAGGGTTCTCGCAGATTCTTCTTCGGAGTCCCTCCGGTAGCGTATCCAGTCCCTGCCTCTTAATCTCGAACTTCAAGGCGTCCTCGTTGAGAATAAGATCCAGGGGCATCGCTCCGGCCAGCACCTGCACCGCCTCGTGGGACACCGTTCTATAAGCTCTCGTGACGCCCAGCAGGGCCAGGCGTTGTATGGTGGCCAGTCGTCGCTTGTGGTGTTGCTTCAAGTTTCGGCTCCACGCGGGGGATGAGTACCTCAGGATACCCAGGATGACTCCTTTGTATATTGTCATGGTTGCTGGGTACCTGAGGCCCCAGAAGGCACCTCCGATTCTTCGTAGGCCATTCATCGTCAGGGTCACCCTACCCCTTAGGTAGTCTAGGTGAGGAGTGACGTCGAAGTTTCTTCTGATTCGTACCCCTAGGTATGTCGCCTCCTCACCTACCCTGACCCTTGCACCTTGGATGTCCAGATTGATAGGGTGAGCCCTGTCCGTGGAGCCTCTTATGAGTATGGCTTGCGTTTTTGCAGCGGCCATGGTTAGTTTCCGCTTGGCGCACCACTCTGAAACTAGACTGGAGCACCTCTTCGCTTCCGTCTTTAGTCTGGCTCTGCTGTTCTCAGCCACGATTACCGCCAGGTCGTCGACGTAGGCCGTGGCAAGGAAACGTAGGCCCTGTTTTCCAGTTCCCCCAGCAACTGGTCGAAGACGAGCTTCCACAGGGCTGGACCTAGGACTGAGCCCTGCGGGCAACCCCTCTCTATTCTCCTCTCGACGTCGTAGTAGTTACCCTTGATCCTGACGGTTCTTTGACTGAGGTAACTGCCTACTAGAGAATAAAGGTTACTGGGGGTGTCGAGCTCTTGCAACCGCTGGAGTACGCAGGACCACCATACACTGTCGAAGGCGGAGGAAACGTCAAACAGTATCAGGAGGACGGACTTCTCCGCCTTCCCCTCCACATCCCTGCGCACTCTAAGCAGTGCATCTGTGGTTCCCTTGCCACGTGTCGAGCCGAACTGCCGCGGATGGCTAGCTGCATTGAGGATCGGTCTCAGGCTAGCGGCCATCATTTGTTCCAGGACCTTGCTGACGACCGGGAGAAGGCAGATAGGCCGATAAGCTTTAGGCGATTCCTTGTCCTTGCCTCCTCCCTTGTAGAGCAGTCTCAGGTCTGCAATCCTCCACTTGCTTGGGAAGTAACCCTTGTCCAAGCATTCATTCATGATGAGGAGGAGTTCCTCTTCTATGTGAGGGGTACTTTTCTTGAGGATCGCAGCGTCTATGCCGTCAAGTCCTGGAGCTCGGCCGATCCTCTGCTTCTCCACGGCCAGACGAATGTCCCAAATGTCCCATGGTGGGCATAGGTCGGTACCAGGCGGGTATGACGTGGTGCGTCTCACCATGCTATCAGCTTCGCTATTCTGGGACGGGTCATCCCTGGGGTAGGTGTAGTCCACATACATCGCTGCACATTCCTCGAGGATGGCAGCCTGGGCTCCAGCAACTCTGATAGCAGCCATCATCTGCTGCTGTCTTACTTTGTCCAGTGCTACCTGTATGGTATACCCCAGGGATTGTTTTCCGACTCCTGCACTATGAACTCGTCCCAGGATTTCTTCTTCTCGAGACGCACGCCGTTTCGGTACACCCTATACCTATGCTTCGCCTCCTCTCTGAGTGCAGGTCTTCTTTCCTCATCTCTGCACTCTTGGCACCTACGCCTAGCCCTGTAGTATTCTCGTTACAGCTGTGTCAGGGATGGCGTCCACCATGGGACAGGACGCTCTCTCGCCCTTCGGCGCTGGAGGGAATTTTCCGCTGCTTCCGTGATGGCGTCCATTAGGTTCGCCACCCGCTCGTCGATGTCCGCCGTTTCCTCAACGGGCACCCTCTCCTCCATTATTCCCTCCAGTGTACTGGAGTAGGTATTCCAGTCCGCCGAACGGGTCACGAACCCCCTCTCGCATATGGGGACTCTGCCTTCCTCCTCCACTACACTGAAGGCTATGATCCGGTGGTCGGAGCTCGTGTCAGACCGTAGGATCCAGTCAGCCACCCTCCTTGCCATAGCTGTCGTGGCCAGTGTCACGTCGATATTGCTACTCTGGCCCCTTGTTCCAACAAATGTGGGTCCAGAGGGCTCGTTCATTACGACGAGTTGACATCTCGTCACGAGTTCCTCTACCGCTCTTCCCCTGGCATTCGTGCTGACCGAACCCCAGGCCGTGCTCCAAGAGTTGGTGTCGGAACAGACTATCGTACTTCTATATCGCTGTACGACAGCCTCCAAGGCAGTAATATTCTCCTCTATGTCTGCCTGCCAAGGCGGCATGTATGAGGAGACTAGGGCAAAGGATATTCTACACCATTTGACATAACATGCCGCCTGGTCCGCTGTGGTGAAATTCTTCAGTTCCATTACGTCGAGGGCGGAGTTCACTATCACTATCGCCGCTCTGGGCCTCCTCTCTCCACTGCCCAAGGCGACCACCCTCGACCTCACACCAAACCCTACCACCACGTTGTTTCGGCACGATGGTTCCTGGATGACCATAATGTCCATTCCTCGGGCGAGAGCTCTCAATTCGTCCGCCACTACTCGTCTTCGGCCCATGTTGAGCTGCAAGATCTGGAGCTTATCCATATCTGGTCAGTTTGGCCTGCCTGACTATTATCTCCAGGTATATCGGGCATTCCCTGCTGCCCGCACAGTGCTGGGAATTTCTCCCCTTCCTATCTTGCGCCTTGCAGTTCCGGCAGCATGGGTACCCAGTGCCTGGGTACTCCCTTGACCTCCAGTCGGGGGGGGGGGGTCGCGATGTGGTCAGCCTCGCCTCCAGTCCTTGCTCCTTGAGGCGATCCCACTCCAAGATTTTGTTGGCCTGCACCAACCCCTCCGTCCTGACTAGGACCACTTTTCCATCGCTCAGTGGTCTAACAACTTTGGCGCTGACACCAATCTCCTGCAGCTCCTCCTCGGTTGGCAGCTGCTTGTGGATGTCAGCCATCGTCCACCCCTCCGTCACTCCCTTGAGCGTGATGAAGGTGTTCGTGCTGTCATTCTTCTGTGAGACGGGCACGCTGGCCAGGACGCTGGCAAATGTGAGCTTCTTCTCTGTGGTTTTATTCCCTTCTTTCTTCCTTCGACGCCTTTTTCCCACCACGCTCCACTGGGTTTCTTCGTCCCTCATGGGCTCCTCCACGGTTCTACCCCTGTCGGTCGGGACTTCTATCTTCCTCCCCATGCTCACTGGGGTCGCACCTATGTCTCCGGTTGTCCTCCTTTCTACCAACGGTGTGCCTTCGTTGGTAAAGACGTCACGGCTTGTCCGCACTGGTGTTATCCGCACTGGTGTTGTCCGCACTGGAGTTGTCCGCACATCAGTTCTATTATTTTCTACGAATAGGGCTACTGCCTCCATTCCAACTATTATGTTGGTTATTGCCCTAAATTTGGAATTAAAATAATACTGTATCTCTTTAGTCACCTTCTTCCTTGACAGGTAGTCTCTTAGCAAGTCCTGAATAATCTCCGCCTTTTCAATAGCACTTAGGGGTGGGGCACTTTCAATGCACGTAGGGCACTTCCTTGACAGGCTTTCTTCTTCCTGTAGGAGATTGTCAGTAGGTACCTCCTCCAGGTTGCCCTCTACTGTCGCCTGGGGCCTCTTCTCTTCTTTTCCTTCCTCCTCTCCCATTTCCAATTACACCTTGCAAGGCTTATCAAATTAATCTGATAACCTGAATATAGATTCAAAACTATTGAATTTAATATAATATAAACATAATAAGAATATAATATATAATTTTCATTATTTATATTATATTAATTATACTTATATTATATTTCAATTATATTTATATTATAATGATGTAGAGTTGGTTGACCGTTGATATGATATGAGAAGGAATTAGTCGAGGGTGCGGTCAAAAAAAAAAAAAAAAAATTAAAATATATAAATAATAATTTAAATTAAATTTAAATTAAATTAAATTTAAATTAAATTAAAATTATTAAAATTAAATTTAATTAAATTAAATTAATTAAAATTATTTATATATTTTAATTTTTTTTTTTTTTTTTGACCGCACCCTCGACTAATTCCTTCTTAAAATCTCATATATTTATATTATATTAATTTTAATTTAATATAATATAAACATAATATAAATACAATTTAGTAGATGTGTGAATTATACTCAGAAGTGGGTAAAATAGCTGGATGAATATGAGCAGAATGTCAGTCAGGAATGTCAATCACAAGCTAACCTAGCAGGCCACGTGGAAACCACGTGGTGACACAAAACTTAAGTTTTACCTTACTTCCAACGGCCCGATTTTGTCCAAATTTATAGGAGAAGTGCAACTCAATGGCCCGAACAAGGGTAGAATTACAGAACTCTTATAATAAGTCCTCCGGCTGAAAAAAAACAGGAAAACTAGTGGTTTCAGGGCCACGTGGGCGACGCTTGGTGTTATTGTCGCTAATATCACTGTTATTTTCAGTATAAACCCACTTCACTTTTACACGAAGCTGCACGGACACTAATTAAACAGTTTGAGAACGTTTAAACTAAACAACGACACTTTTCGCGAACGAAAACGCAGATATGCTGAGGAGCGTCCTAACCCAACCTCACTCGACGACTCCTGGAACACAACTCAAACGATTTCTACTGGAGATAAACCCGTCGCTGCATGTATTGTATTGTTGTAAGCAATCACTGCTCGCGGCATTGCGTCAAATGGATCCAAATTTCTCCCTAGTTTAAGTAATCTAAGGTGTTCACCTAAAGTGGTGTGTAACCTTTCCACCGCACCTCTACCTTTGATGTGATGGAGGTGTTTAGTCGCCAAGTGATGTCTAGCGTTTTACATTCATTTCGAATAAAGGCATTGTCAAATTCTCGGCCACAGTCTGACACAATTTCGTCGGGCACACCATAAATCGCGCACCATTGCAAAATCCCTTCCCATACTGCTCGGGTTTTTTTCTCTTCAATGGGATGAACCAAAGCGATTTTACTAAACGTGTCTAACATTGTTACCCATGATTGATCCTCGTTAGAATAAATGTATACTTGTATTAAGCGTAGTGGTTCTGGTGCGGTGGGCGAGACTACTTGTTTAGCTACCGGAGGTTGTCGATCATATTTCGCTCGCTGACAGACTTCACACTTTGCGATATAATCGCATACCGTTCGGCCCATATTTTTCCAGAGATATAATAATTTCAGCGCCCGCAGGCTCTCTTCCTCTTCCATTCCCCGGTGGTTCGTTTTGCCAGTGTGGTGATCATTGACAATTTTCTGTTATACTGCCGGTTCGGTGATTGTTTCTACTTGTCGTAAGCACCTAACGAGTGAATAGCCCATTCCTATTCTCTCTTGCCGCCATAATCTTTTCATTTTATCCACAATTGCACGATTTCTCACATAAACATAACATGTACGACCCCGTTGACTAAATTCTGAGAAGATTTTCTCTAACGCGTTGTCGTCTATAGATGCAGGTGTGTGGACAAAAATCGTTGATAACCTCTCTTACACGCTCGCGTGTATTTTCAGTCCCGGACCCTGCTTCGATTTTATGATAATTTGAAATTTTTTATCATTTATAATCTCGTCCACTTCGGGTATCCCTTGTGATCTGTCTATTGGTGTTCTAAGGATTTCCCCCATGTCAGGTTCGGTAGGTATGTCCTCTTCGTCAATTGCATTAACTACCAACTCCCGCGACAACTAGTCGGCGACCACATTGTCAACTCCTTTTTTATGAAAAACATGGAAATTATCCGCCGCGAGGCGTTCTTTCCAACGTGAAACACGCGCGAATGATTCCCTCAGAGTGTCTAAGGACAGTAGGGGTTTGCGATCAGCGACAGCTCGAAATGTCTTCCGTATATATAGGGACGAGAGTATTCTTTTGCCCAAACGCGTTCGATAGCGCTGTACTGACGTTCGGCGTCACTTAACTTTCGGCTTGCATATAATATAGGTTTTTCTCCTATTTCGTAATTCTGTCAAAATTCTGCCCCAATAGCAATTTCGCTCGCGTCTGTGGTGACTTTAAATGGCCTGCGGAAGTCGGGAAAAGCTAACAGCGGACGAGTGGTAAGAATCTCACGACATTTCTGAATACTCCATAATTGCTCCGGCCCCAATTGAAACCTCCTTCCTTTCTTTAATATTTCTGTTAACGGGTGAATTATTTCTGCTTTTCCTGGAATTAATTTCAGATAACCATACTTAAAAAATGTCGAACTCCGCGAGCATTCTTGGGTAATGGTGCATCCCGAATACCTTTTACACGTCCCTCATCAGGTTGTACCCCGCTGGGGGAAACTACGTGTCCCAAAACTTTAATTTCCTTTAGCCCAAATTTAGATTTTTCACGGGATAATTTGAGTCCGAATTCGCGTACTCTGTTGAAAACTTGCCTAAGATGTTCAATGTGTTCTTTCTCAGTTTTGCTGAAAACGATAAGATCGTCCATATAGACTTGGAAAAAATCTTCACCTAATACTCTCTGTAGCTTGTCCATGAGTCTTTGGAAAGTTAATGGGGCCCCTTTTAATCCGAATGGCATCCTGACAAATTCAAAATGGCTCCGTTCCCATGAGTATGTCGTTTTCCCGATATCCTCCTCCGCCATTCTAACTTGATGTTACCACTTTTGAGGTCCAGATTACTGAATATATTTGCTCCCGACTGTCGATCCAGTATACTACCCGAGGGAGAGGGTAACGTTTGTCTTTTGTTGCTTCGTTCAGCTTCCGATAGTCTATACAACTCGATATTTCTTTGGCTCACCTTCCTGTTCACCTTGTTTCTTATCAACTACCCATAAAGGACTATTAAACGGGGAATTGCTATATCTGATAACTTGTGTCCGTAACTCTTCCAATTGTTCTCGAATAATTTCTCTCATGGCTTGGGGATACCGCCTATCCTTAACGCAGATTGGGAATTTTGTCTTCAAGTGAATTCGATGTACCGTTTCCCCGTTGTTGGCAAAACTTCGTTTTCTTTATAGAATAAATCTTTGTTTTGTTCCACTAAATATGTAATTGCCTGTTTTGTACATTCCACGGCCCCGATTTTAATGTCTTCGTGATTTCCCTTCTTTGTAATTCGGTACATTCGTTTCCCTATTTTGTAACGCCACTCCTTATGGTTAACTCTCATCTTTAAACCCACTCGCTGTAGAATATCACAACCAATAATTAAATCATAACTTGGCATTAATTGCTCAATAATGTGGATTTTTATATGCGAATCCTGCTCCGTTAACTCACTAAGACACAAAGAGGATTCGTCTAAGGTCTGACATCTGCCGCTAACCGTGGATACTATACATTTGCACTGTTTATGTCCGATCCAAATACCCAATTTATCCGCTCCCCTCTTGCTAATTAACGAATTTGTACTCCCTGTATCAATCAAAAATTTGATTCCGGGTTCCTCTAATCTCGCCACGGGCAACCTAGTCCGATGTTTACCCCTAACGCTATTATTAATTATCAAATTACTCCCTTGGTCACCCCGCATGTCGCTGCACCCTCAATCAGTACGTGGGTGTCCCGCTACTACTTTCGATCCGGAAGGATCCTCCCTTCTATTGTAAGAAACAGTTTCCCGAAAACGCCAGACGGCATCTCGTAAAGTTTCATATGGAACTTCGATGGCATTAGCTGCATATCTAATGGAACGTCCATCATCAATAAGTGACACACCACGCGCAACATCCTCGGCACTAAGAGGCATTTTTAAACTTAATATTGAAAAAATTAAAAGCCGGAGACTAAGAAATGTGCTGCAAGAAACGGCACTGAACTAATGATACTGAATAAACATTTTGATTCCATAGAAAGTAAACATTGGAATCTAGAATCATTTCATTGAATTAAGGATTAAGGGTTATTGTCCTCTATATTAACATTCCTAATTGAAAACAAACAAAAAGATTACCTATTTATTCATTAAAAACAATAGATCAATCCAAAGCAGAAATATTTTTAGATGAAAACATGAAAAATCAAGTGGGTGGAATTTTTTGCCTGTCAGTGTATAAAAAAAAAATTATTTCATATTCAAAGTATCCATTCAATAAAATTTGTATTTCTGAGGGTTCCTTCTGATTTCTTAAGTAATAAATACATCCCAACGATGCCAATAACGTCAACGTAGGCTTTTGTTTTACGATATATCACTTCTTTGCCACCGATATTTTATCTTTCTCTGTTTTAATCATCTTGTTTCTTGTAATCTTGTAAGCAACAACAAATTTTTCTTCAGCCATTAGTTTTCTAAAGTATTCAATGTGTCGGTAAAAACCGTTACAATTCCATTGTATTATTTTTGTCATGTTTTATTTTTTGTTTTTTAGTGTCTGTATTGCCTGTTGATATTTTTGAGGATTTTTTACCGGATGTGTTCAGTCGTTCAGTCGGTAATTTTCGTTACATAGTCATAGTAGTTTCAAAATTTTTGCTGTCCATATTTTGGTGCCTCTATGATCTATGCGTCCTTTGATGTCTGTTAGCATCCTAAATAATCCTTCTCTGTCCATTGTGAATTGTTTTATAAGGTCTGTTGTGTTTGATGACAACTTTTCTATCTGAATTGTTTCGTACAGTAAGCAAATTTCTTTGAATTGGAGAGGGTAATTGTTTTAAATTACCATATCACGAATTGG